TCACGTAGCATAATATTGACAGTATTTCACACATCTTAAAATACTATTTGAGAAAATTATTTTTAATGGTTGCCGACTATTTCATAATACAGATGCTTCACAAGGTATCAACTGATTTCTTGATTATGATTTTCTAATATTTCAAGAAATTAGACAATCTCTTTAAAATATGTTATTCTCATTCTCTTTGGTTATTTTTGTGGGTAAATTAACCAAAAACTAGTTCCTAATTATCTAAAATTATGACTACCAATCTCAAAGCCAAAAATATCCCCAACATTATATCCACCTTTTCCTTTTTTATACCTGGTGTGATATCAAAACATGGAAGTGACATGATAACTAATTTTAGTTCACATTGTTATTTTTGTTTAATTTGGAAGGAAAGAAAAATATTTCCTGTCAGTTTGTTTACTGCCTACGAACACACATGGGTTGGGACTGGGCTGACTCAGAACTGGGACCCAGGAGCTCAATCCAAGCTCTCTCATGTGGGGAGAGGGGACCCAATCACTTGAGCCATCACCACTGCCTCCCCTGCACTGCTTAGCAGGAACCTGAGTTCAGAAGCCAGAGGAAGGAATTGGACCAAGGCACTTCAACATGGGATGCTTGTGTTTCAATCTGCATTTATCAGTCACCTAGTGATTACACTACTTAAAGAAGTGAATACCTTACCTATATAGGAAGATCGCTAACCGGCTGGAGTTGGCACCATGGTATAACAAGCTAATACTCTGCCTGTGGTGCCAGCAACCCATAGGGGTAGTAGTTTGTATCCTAGCTACTTTACTTCTGATCCAGTTCCCTGTTAATGGCCTGGGAAGGCAGGAGAAGATGCTTCAGGTCCTTGGGGCACTGTATCCACATGGGAAACCTAGAAGAAGCTCCTGGTTCCTGGTTTTAGACCTCATATCTGGCCAAAATGGCATTTTGAAAGTGAACCAGCAGATGGAAGCTTTCTCCCTCTTTAATCCTTTCTAGTAAAATTTTAAAAATATGTATTTTTAAAACATTTTTTTTTATTGGAAAGTCACATTTACAGAGAGGAGGAAAGACAGAGGGGAAGATCTTCCATCCACTGATTCACTCCCCAATGGCTGAAGTCTAGCTGATCTGAAACCAGCAGCCAGGAGTTTCTTCTGGGTCTCCCACATGGGAGCAGGATTCCAAGGTCTTGGGCTGTTCTCCCTGCCAGGCCATAGGCAGGGAGCTGGATGGGAAGTGGGGCCACCAGAATTAGAACCAGCGCCAATATGATCCCAGCATGTTCAAGGCAACGACTTTAGCCACTAGGCTATCGTGCCAGGCCCATAATTATATATATATTTTTTAAAAAAAGATCACTAACAAACTAGTCTTTTTCCCCCATAATTATCATTTCAGACTTGCATGAGTACCGTCTTTTGAATCTGCATTTTATTTTCTGAGGTAAAGCAATACTTATTTCTACGTCTTAGGCTCCAGCAACTTGGCATGCTTTCTTTCCTACTGGAGTATTTTGTGAGACCTTTAACAAGCTATACTCAATAACCTTTTCTTGGTTTCACACCTTTATTTCTTAGAAGTACTCAAGACTATTGAATGCTAACATGTGTGGAATTTGCTTATCTCCCACAAAAACTGCACTTTCCGAACTCTCCTATTTGAGTTTCCTTGATCTGTCAGAAAACCTTCCTCTCTGTGTTTTCTAACTGTGGGTAGTCACCAGAATTGGGCTTTGGCTCCTCTCTCTCATGGAACTTCTCTTTCTCAAAGGGACCGACTGACCGACTTACCTACCTACCTACCTACCTACCTTCCTTCCTTCCTTCCTTCCTCTTTCTCTCTCAGTTTTTTTTTATATTTATTTATTTCCATTGCAAAGTCAGATATACAGAGAGGAGGAGAGACAGAGAGGAAGATCTTCTGTCTGATAATTCACTCCCCAAGTGGCTGCAATAGCTGGAGCTGCTCCGATCCAAAGCCAGGAGCCCGGAAACTCTTCCAGGTCTTCTACGCGGTGCAGGGTCCCAATGCTTTGGATCGTCCTCCACTGCCTTCCCAGGCCGCAAGCAGGGAGATGGATGCAAGCAGGGTCACCATGACATGAACTGGCACCCATATGGGATTCAGGTGCATGCAAGGCGAGGACTCTAGCCACTAGGTACCATGATGGGCTGGAACTTAGCTTTCTTTCTTTAAAAAAAATTGTTAATAAGAGAACAGATCTCCTGCATTTCATAAGTACTCTTAATGCTGCATTCTAAGGCTTTACCTTTTCCTTTCTTTAATGGAATGTAATATAAATCTGCCTGACAGAAATTTCCTCAAGCTTCTTTCAAAGTACCTCAAATGCTGATTCAATCCACCTTTATTCTCTCCATTTTAAAATGCTTTCCTTAATATTCTTTATTCCCTATAGCACCTTCCTATTCAATCATTTAGGCACTCTGGTTCTCCTGCATCTGACTGAGAGCGACCTTTCCAGTTGTAGTACTTCTCTCCATCAGTCACTGTTTTTCTGCTCACCATAGTTCAACTGGAATATCGCTTTCCTCTTAGTTTTCTTCAAATTGATAGAAATATGAAATCCAAACTTTCAGATTTCATGTTTTGTATGATGTTATCAAATTTCTCTCTGTTTTACCAATCAGTGTAATAGTAATGTCCTTCACAGAGTCTTAAACAGTCACATGATATACTGTATTTGGAAATGTCTAGCACAGTGTTTGGCACGTCGCATCCTTGCAGTAAGCATTTAAGAGTGCACTCATTCATTCATTCATTCATCACTCTGGCCCTTCAAAACTAGCCTTTGCTTGGAAAACTGTTACCATAGTCCCCTAAATTCTCACCTTTGACCCTTTCCATCATTCCTGCGACTCAGGTAGGCTTCTACATACCTTACAATGGGAATGCCTGCTCCACATTTCAATGTATAAAGGAAGTGCTAACAATACTGAATACAGAATTACCTTTCTGCCCATCTTCAAGCAAGTTTCAAAGATAGCACAGAGCAGATGAGAAAGCAGTTCCTCATGTTAATATCAAAAAAGAAGCTAAGTGACCATTTTTTTTCTATGGTAAATGATATATTTTGTTATGTGGCAACTTTGATCTAAGTATGAACAAAATACCCACTTTATATGGTGGCTAAGTAGATATGATAACAGGTTCAGTGACTTTCTTTGGTCTGTCATTTGTAAACGAATTGGTTTCTGTTCAAATGAAGGGGCGTTTCAGTTTATTGTCTTCCCTGGGGTTGCAATAAACAGAAGAGTCAGAAACAGATGAATGCTCTTATTTCTGAAATTATCATGAAAGCATTGGCAATGGCTTGGGAAGTTTTAAGAGAAAATAACATCTTGCTAACTCTGCAGCTTGTAAAGAAAATGCCTTCATAATAATCAGTATAAATCTAGCTTCTAACTAAGATATGCTCGAGGAGGATAATATAAACTTTAAACTGCAACTCTAGCAAAGCACATCCCCTTTCTATTACTGTGAGAGTCTTCTGGATAGACAGGAGTAGGAGAAAGACGCACCGTGTCCAAGGGAGGAGATAGGCTAATCCTGACTTCTTGATAGGACATTACAGATGTGCTACCGGCATGGTGAGCAGAGGGCTGGCAGGCTCCACACTTTCTTACAGAAAGGAGACTTGAAGATTTCAAGAGATACTGCAGGGGCAGTGTGGAGTGGGGATGGAGGAGTGGGGTGGGGATGCGTGTGCTAGTGAGAGTGAGGAGGAGGAATAAGTAGGTACTTCACGCTCCCGTCCTCCCTTCAGCTTTCTCCAAGAATCACATCTGTTTTGTAAACAGAGTTTTGAAAGAGATAACTTTTACAAGTGAGACTCTGACACTGCCCCCTACTCACTTGCTTATTCTCTTTCATTTTAATGAAATCAATTTTCTATCGTTTCATAGGAATTTTTTTCAGTATATACAGCGAGATTTAATTAATGGAGAAAGTTTTTTTTTAAAGTACTTTTTTCTTGACAAACTATTTTAGAGGCTAATTTTTACTTCTGTTTTTAACTAAAGGACCAGTATAATGCCTTGCACAAGATAGATAACTCCATAAATGCCTGTTGAATTGAAATGAACAGGAGAGGATACTGGTAAGCAGTGTGGTAAGCTGCTCAGAATTTTTTTCTTCAAAGATCAAACTAGTTGCCTGGTGGCAAGTATTTGGGGGGTATTTTACATAAATAAACTATTTAAAACCTGAATTAACTGGATTTACTTTGAATATATGAATCAGAATAACAAGATGTCAGATTTCGGACAAGTCCTGGTAGGCTTCTAGCTCTCATTGTAAAAAACAGGATGTCTAGATAAAGCATTGGGTCTTACACTGAAGTTATAAAGATGTTGTAAGAGTTAACCCAAGCAGCTGCAGTAGAGCAATAGCAACGTGAACTCTTGGTTCTCACGGAGGCCAGACGGACATTCTTTGGCATGGTGGCAGATGGTTTCTGAGCTATAGATTCCCCATTGCTCAGTGATGCTGACAATGGTACTCCACATAGGGACATTGTGATGACTGAATGAACTCAGACACATTAGCCAAGCACAGTGTTTGGCACATAGAAGTAATATTAAATATTAATTTAGTTACACACATTATCAGACACATAGTTTCTATGAGGTTAAAGGGGATGCACAGTCTTAGATTTAGGAAACCATAACATTAGCAAATCTAAGGGGAAGAAGGGATCATGAAACGGAGGTCTCCATGTTGATATCCTCCAATGCTGGGCCACATGCAGCACTTGGTTTTGAGGATGGTCAGATCAGGATTCAAATATAAGAGTCATAAAACTTCCCAGTGGGCGGTGGGGTCAGAGGTGCTAACAGATGGGCACTTGAGCATTCCATGGCTTTAGGCAGACTCTATTCTGTTTACCCTCAAGTCTCTGGGAGAACACATCTGTGTGTGTGTGTGTGTGAGAAACCAGAAAGTAAGGAAATACCCTGTCAGTGAGAGGAAGGCACTGGGCCACCATCTCCTACCTGAACGGGTAGGCAAAGGCGATGTCGATGCTCAGGTTACTCTCCGTCTTGTTGACGCAGTCTACACTCAGCCGCAGGCCTCCAGAGTAGCCACCACATGTTGCAAATGCAAAGATTGCAAAAAGCTGGGGAGACACAAGAAACACAAGAGAGGGTAACTATTACGAAGATGCAGACTTAATCCAATAAAAGGTCGGAGCTCAATGCCTGAAGCGAGAGAGGTGTGGTCATTCTGAAAGGCAGAATCATTTGTGGTCAAGCTGAAAGAGAAAGGGTGGGAAGATGGCAGGATCCAGGGAGGCGTCTTGGAGCATCATGTAAAACTAGGACGGGTAATTACTTCAGGGTCCAAAGAGCTGTTTGGAGTCACAATCCTGGGAAGATGTTGACTACAATGTGCCATTTGGTCAACAGTGGGTATTTCCAAGTAGGGAGAATTTGGAGTATGCACGTGGCTGCTGCTTTCTGTTTGGATTTATTATGTGTAGTAAGTATATTTTGTTTAAGTTGCCCCAAGTGACAGGATGTCACTGTTTTTATAAGTCCTTATTACTCCACTGAGTCTGGTTTTCTTCATGTGCTATCTGCTGCTACCTTCCTGAGTCCACACATTGGCTAATGTGAATAATGCAGCAATGAACATGGGAGTATAACCTGAAGAGAGGTATTTGAGTATTCGTTCCATAAACAAAATATCAATGTTTTCTGGGGATATGTGATACATGATGTGATGGTTAGACAATGTATATAGGTATACGTCAAAATGTTACCCCATAAACATATATAAAATTATGTATCAATTAAAAACAAAGCATGCAAAACAATACAGAATATTAAATTACTGTAATTATCAGACACAAGTGCATAGTTAATGTGGTTTACAGGTGATGTACCATCCAGAATACCACAGAGCAATTTTTAAAAATATATGGTTAAAGAATTCCAGAGCTGAAATTTTGTGGATATATGGAAGGTGAAATATGATGTGCAGAGTATAAAACCTCCTTCAATTACTGCCAAAAGCCACACTGGTGGTTGCATCTTTGTGTTGGCTGCTATTTCTACGTCAGTTATTAAAGGTTTCTGCTGGTGACCAGCTGGTGTCATAACCTATCCTGTGTAGAGTGCGAATCTTTGAACTATGCTCTGAAAAGTACAAGCAGGAATTAGGGAAGTGTTACAGAGAGACTTACGCTCACTCCAGGAAGGCAGGGTTGGCTAAAGATGGGAACTGGGCAACTGCCAAATTTCACTCACATGATAATTTGGCTAAATTCAGGGGTCAGCACAATGATTCAGTTGGTCAATTCTCTGCCTGTAAGTGCCAGTATCCCATATGGACACCAGTTTGTGTCCAGCTGTTCCATTTTCCATCTAGCTCAGTGCATGTAGCCTGGGAAAGTAGTGGGGGATGGCTCTAAGCCTTGGAACCCTGTGCCATGTGGGAAATAGGGAGGAGGCTCCTGGCTACAGATCACCTAAGCTGCAGTCATTACAATCATTTGGGGAGTGAACCAGAGGATGAAAGATCTTCATCTCTCCTCTTTATAAATCTGCCTTTTTAGCAAAATACATGAATCATTTTTAAAAATTAGCTAATTTCAGGAAAATCCTGCCCTACCAGGATGTTCCCGTGTGTTCTGCCTCTGCCAAACGCCCTCTGATCAGTGGGACTGCACAGATTCATACTGTGAACCTTTAACTGTGAGCTGAAATAAACTTTCTTCTGTCCCAAGAAGCTCTTAGAAGGTATTTTAGGTGTAACAATGAAAAGCTGACTAACCCAGAAAACACAGTGAGGCTATTTTAAAGTGCCTACTGTGGACCAGGTATTCTATCCAGCACCTAATACACATAATTATATTTTCTTGTGATGACAGACTTGTGAGAGGTGTGTATGTATGCAACTTAACATTCATTTATTGAAAATTTGGCTGAATAACATAGTTCTTTGTAAAAGTTGCATTTAGAAAATTCCTTGGGACATTATAATGCATCAAATTAAATTTGGACAGCATAAAAATAAATCTTGCTAATTTTAGCATTTAGTAACTATAAAAAGTATCTTGGTTTTTGTGTATTTTTTTCTAAACAATTTATTTATATATTTGAAAGCTAGAGCTACAGAGATAGAAGGAAAGACAGAAAGGTCTCCCATCCACTGGCCCACTCCCCAAATGGTTGCGGTGGCCAAGGTTGGCCAAGCTGAAGCCAGGAGCCAGAAGCTCCACCTATGTCTCCCATGTGGATACAGAAGCTCAAGTAATTGGGCCATCTTCTGCTGCTTCCCCTGGCACACTAGCAGGGAGCTAGATCAGAAGTGGAACAGCAGGAATCAGCATCCATATGGGATGCAATATTGCAGGAAGTGGCTTAATCTGCCATGCTACACCACCTGTCCCAGTTTTTCATCTTAATGTGCTTTAAACAACACCACGTAAGAAATCTCAGATGAAAAGACAATTATGTACTTAACTAGTTCAAAAAATTAAATGCATTAAAAAGAGGCATCTGTCTACCTATGAAATCACTCAATGTTTTATTTTTAGCTTCATTTGAGCTCTGAAAAAAGGCATTGTACTTAAGTTAAATATGATATTTTGTGCTCTCTAGTTAAATTCTTCCCATCCCCACAGACCTCGCTGATTAAAGAGAAATCATACCGCATGACTGATATCAAATTCACAAAGGTTTGGTGAGGATTAAACAGATAATGTCTGTATAGCACTGGGAGAGGCAGATCCTGCTGAGTGAATAACTTATTACAGAAATAGTTGATTTCATATTTGAGAAGTGAAATCAACAGCTCCAGAGTACAGCAGTTAGAGGATTCATCCCCAAATTAGACTATATCAAGACATCAAGACACAGTGAGGGGAGGGTTAGATTCTTTTTAATGGCTGAGAGGTAGAAAGATTCTCCAGATATGGCGCAGGAATGTAGATTGGGAGGGATGTGAACCAGCACTATAACGTAGCATGCTGTCACCCCAAGAAGCAGTTAGTTTAAGCCATGGTGCCACGGTATCTGCTCTCTGAACCGAAGCCTGGAACTAGAATAAAAAGTCCTGAAAAAAATAATTCTAGGAGTGCACAAAGTGCTCTGGGCAGCAGGATCAGCTTATGCGACATCCTTTTGGGGGAAAGCTCAACAAATTCAAGAAGCCAGTATAAGAACAGAATAGCCAGCAGGTGCTGAAAGGGGTTCAATTATAGCATTTATGTCAAATGAGTGAAAGATCATATAGAAAGTATAGGATTCACGGTCCTCAACAAACATCCAAGTATCATCTCTTTCCTCCTTTTTTTCTTCTTACCCTCCTCCCTCCTGCTGCTATTACTACTACTCTGGGGGATATAATTGGAGAGGAAAAAGCTTTTTGCCCCAGTTAACTTAAAAGCAGAGTTGGAGCTAGGATCCTGGTCTACAGATTCTTCAAGTCAATGTTCTACTGATTAGCTCTAGAATTGCAAGAACAGTTTTTAATCATGTAAGTTGAAGAAGCTGGCTGCCAAATAATCTACTATGTTCTTTCCAGAGATGAAGCATGGGTGCTTTAAGAACCTGAGGTTCCTTTTCTTAAGCATCTTTCTCTTAAGCATCTTACTAACATATCAGCAAACTTTGTGCCAAAGCGAAAAAAAGTGTCTTGTCCTCCCTCCCTCTCTTTTCTTCCTGGAGGAGATGGAAGAATTTCAAAGGCACACCTTGAAAGACATGGCAGATAGACAGAGCCTTCTGCAGCCTGACAATTAGTGTTCTCTGGGGTAATTAATATCAGCAAGAGGAAGACTGCTACATCTTGGAGATGCTTGTCTCCACACAACTAATTCCCATTTCTAAGGCAAACAAGGGAGATGGGATAAGTTTCTTTCCTGAAACTAGGAAACCTAGGAATGCGTTCTGGAAGTCAAAGGAAGAGGAAAAGCCTTAGGGGACATTGTGGGAACACATGTGGGGGGTGGAGGGAGGTGTGTATGGTGTTTTTTTTTTTTTTTTTAAAAAGATACTAAGAGAAACCAAGGAACGGAATGGGAAGTACCAACACTGTGTTGTTTGTGGGCAAGCATGTGTGTGCCACTGTCTCCAAACTGTAGGCTCTGTACTTTTGTTCTCAGCCATTTTGTTCTTTCTAGTCAGGAGATAACTGATTCGTATTTCTTGCCATTGAGTGTCTATCCCAGGCGCCTAAATTCCTTTGCCCCATGAAATGGAATTACAGAAGCAGTGTGTTCCCATGTTACCTCAAGCTCCCAATTCTCAAATAAAGCAAGACCCTGACCCCCAGCACATTCCATGATCAGCAGTGTCACAACCACTGGCACATTCACTTGTCTTCTGTTCCAGAGGTCAAAATATATCTAAAACAAATTCTCATTTCACCACTGCCATGGGTGATCTATGGCTCTATTCCCAACAACAAAAAGTGACCCATGAAAGGGTCAAATTTGTCAGCCCAGAGTTCCCTCGCAGACAGCTTGGTTAGAAATGCATTCGGGTGAAAGGGATGAGAAACATTACCCTGCATTTTCTGGCTTAATAAGCATTCTTAAACTATAATCACCCAAAGCAGGAGTGGTGGCTTTGCATTGTTAATCACGCCAAAGCTTTCCCCTGGAGAGGAAGCGAGCGGCTCCCTGCTCATAACTAACTGAACTACACAAGGAACTATCAATGCAGGATGCTATTAATCCTCCTGGTTAATTTGCAAGTCACCGTTGAAAGCAATAGGTTGGAGGAGGACAGGAAAGCAGCTTATAAATAGCTTTTGTAGGATCCTCAATCTGAAAGGAGTCATGGAGGGACTCTCTCTGAGGTCTGGTACAAATTCAGGCATGACAGATGTAAAGGGGCCTTGGAAGAAACAGGTGACAATAAGGAGACTAGTAGGAAAGGACTGGGAAATTTGCATTCAGTTATAGGACTCATCTCACCATTGAGCTGTGTGTGTGCCACAGACTAGATCTTCTGGGGCCAATGTTGTGATTCATGGCACTTTTCATTTATCAAAATATAAATGTTTCCACCACAGCCAATAGCTAGCGACTAACAGAATGCCTCTGAACTTGAACTGGGAAGAGAAAATTTACACTATCTTCCATGTCCTAGCATATCTTTGACAATG